TGAGTTCTATTTTCCAAAGTTATGGAACTATACTAATTTTATTTTGGTCAACTGACATTAAATATTAGGAGTCTACACACAAAACAAAAGAAAACAAAACAAAACAACTCTCTAACTCCACACTGTTTATAGTCCTTAGCTCCTTCTATGGAAGAAACTTTATAAAGAGACCACATCAACCAGATCTGATCACCCTTCCACTATCCCTAATCTATATCCCTGTCACCTTACATGTACAAAGTGAGTTTCTTCCTTCCTCCAAAACAGCTTTCAGAATGCCTTGATATTAACTACCCTAAACCCCTACTTTACTGGAAAGCCCTGGATAGCTCTGATAGCCTCTAACAGCCCCAGCTCCTTAAACTGGCTTTAAGCCTCCTCCCCACTCTCCCTAACTGGACATTTCTGGTTTGTTTCCCACTACTAGCCTACACAAGGCAAGACAGCTCCTCAGACAGACAGCTCTCCAATTGTCCTCTGAAAATACCACACGGATTATCTTCATTTTATTGAACACTTGTGAGGTGCCAGGCATCATGTTAGGCATTACAAACATCATCTTATTTAATCCCTTCAACTAAATGAGATATGATTATACCCATTTTAAGGTTGTAGAAACTGAGACTAAAGAAGTTAAGACACTTGTCCAAGCAAAATCTCACAGCAGAGATAAGATTCTTATGCTTATCTATCTGGCTCAAAAGCTGGTTTACTTTCTACTCTGGCATATTCCCACCCTTGCTGTAGTGTGTGTTCTGATCACTGCTTCTCAACTGCACCATACATATCTGAATCCCACCCAGACTGTAAATCCCAGAGAGAAATTCCCACCTCTATCTTGAAATCTTTCATCATCATCCTAGTCCTTGGCGGATTATCTGCAGCACTTACATGTCATGCCTATTCTCTGCCCTGTACAGTCTTGTCAGTTTTCTTTTACTCAGTCCCTTCCAACCACAGTGTGATATCCTTGAAAATGGAAATTTCTTTATACTCCTCCCTCACTCTCCAGAGCCTAATGATATAGCTCCCATTTGCTGAGCATACACCTCAGGTACAACAATCCTAAAGTAGATACTATTATTATTGTCATTTTGCAGATAAAGAAACTGAGGCTCAAAGAGATTAAGAAACTTGCCCAAGCCACTCAGCAAGTAAGCAGCAGATGTGATATGCAAACACGGACTGTCTGAATCAAATGCCCCAATATACTATACTGGCTCAAACACACTGTGCCTCACAGAATGTGAATTTATGAAGCATCACTGTGTCGAAGATATTCAACAAGCCTCCAGAAAACATCCCTCTAACCAATGACTTCAGACAAGGGGCACTGTGTCTTACTCTTTAGTAGGGTAGACTCTAAAACTCAGAATGAGTATATACCACCCCATAAGGTCCCAGACCATTCTCCCATCCTTGCTTGGAGCCATCGGCCCATGTTGGTGGGAGCCAATGATGCTGCCTGTATCTGTACTGGTATGTCTGTGAGATAGAGAGGCAAACTGTTCTTTCCCCAGCAGCCTCAGCAACTTTTAAATACACAGAGGAAAGTAGGAAAAAATAAAAGATATGAGTGTTAATTTTTTTTAAATGGCCTGCAAGGGACTGGGGGGAAGTTTTGCTATCTCTGCAGCAAAAATGGGTTGCTGCTGTGGGAAGAATAACAATTGCTTAAAAATGTTCACAGCTGACCAATTAAGCCAATATATGAACTCCAGCCAGCTTCTGTCCTCCCCTAAGACATGAAGGTAGCAATGGAAATTAATGAAATCTCTAAGAAGAACTTCTGAGAGTACAAGAATCAAGGCCTGGAAGTCTGGCTACTTTTCCCCACATGTAGAGCTTGCCTTCAGTGCCAATGCTGAAGATCTGGACTTGATAGTATTAAGCAAGCTGGCAGGTTTCTTTATATCCAACAGGAAGCATTTTTATTTTATTTTTTTAAGAGTTATTTATTTCAGAGAGAGAAAGAGAGAGGGCACACACACATGAATGGGGGGAGGGGCAGAGAGAAAGGGAGAGGGAGACAGAACTCAAGCAGATTCCTGCTGAGCACAGAGCCTGATGGGGGGCTTGATGGGGGGCTCAATGTGGGACTCAATCTCGTGACCCTGAGATCATGACCTGAGACGAAACCAAGAGTCAGACACTTCATCAACTGAGTTACCCAGGCGCCCCTTTAGGAAGCAATTTTTAAAGAATCTCTTGCAGGGATGCCTGGGTGGCTCAGTTGGCTAAGCATGAGACTCTTGATTTTGGCTCAGGTCATGATCTCAGGGTCATGAGATTGAGCCCCACGTTGGGCTCCACGCTAGGTGTGGTGTCTGCTTAAGATTCTCTCTCCTCCCCCCTTGTGCGAATGTTTTTTCTCTCTCTCTCAAATCAAGAAATCAATCTCTTGCAGAAGAGAATACTCTGACAACAGAATACTACTTTTTATGAATCTGAGAAAGGAGGAATAAGGACTGTATTATTCACTCATCTCTAGTATCCATGCTAAAATTACTCTATTCTCCCAAGTTCCCAAAGGCAGGTTTCCATCTTCATTTATATTTTGGTTTAAATATCTTTACAGCTCAGGGCCTATGACCCCTACACCTTTACCTACAAAACCTGTGTAGTGGCACACAAAATCCTGTACTTGCACAGTACTTAATAAACCAGTCCTTCCATTTACTCCATCTCAGATGAGGCTCAAAACTACCTTTTGAAGTAGACCCAATGGGTATTACTACAATATACGTTTTGCCTATAAAGAAACTAAAATTTGCTTCAAGTAACACAATTGGCACATGGTAAACCTGGTCCCCACTCCTGGCCCAGGATTCTTTCTACTACATGATACTTCCCAATACTCAGGGCAATTTCCCACTTTTTCTATATTCTGGGTCCACATGTAAACTTTGTAAATCTAAAACCAGAAGCCTCTCTATGAAAGAGATGGACTTCAAACTATACCAACCACACTTAGTTCTATTACAACTACCTAGGGCCATACTAAGAGCCCCCTACTCCAATCCAGAAGCTATAAACACTATAGACAAAAATTTAGTAGACTCAAAGAAAGAAATATTTGGATGGTTCTTAAATCTATAGAAGATGAGCAGACATGATAGTTAGACTATCCATTTAAAAAAAAAAAAAAAGGTTAACCTCATGTCACCTGTTTTTCCACAATTGTCATATCGATTGAGAGTATACTAGGTACCTAATACTCCCTTGTACTTATAAAATTTAGGAGCTGTTCTGTCTACCTAATGGACAAACAATCCAGGGTGTACCCAGAAAATATCTGGAATTGGATCTGTCCACCTTGTTCACTGACCTTTTAGTTGGTTATGTAACCCTGGTATCCAGGACCCAGCAGGTCCCTTTCCCCAATTTCTGGGCAATATCTAAGCTCATTAAAGCAGACAAGACTCAAATTTCCAGGCCTTATAAATGGCTGCAATAAGGACATTCTTTTTGTGTCAGCTCAAGCTTGGTTAATCTCCATATCCAATCTAACTCTGGGGTGAAAGAGAAGAATACATTTGTTGCTTTGGGACTGTTTCCCTATTTCTTTATCTGCTGGCTGACCTTCCTTATATAAGTGCACCAGCATTTGCAACATTCAGTTTAAGCAGGAAGGCCCTTTCATCTTTGTCCCCTGGCCTTGATCTCTCATCATTATGGTCTGGATGCCTGCTAATCACCAGTGATCCCATGGCCCTTTATATAATACTGAGGTATTAGACCAGAGCTGATATAAAAATTCCTACTCAGCTAATTACATTCTTTCTGCTTTTCTTGGTTCTCCATATAGTCTCAGCTGGAGTTGAATCTGAACTATTCCCTCAGATTTTAAATCGTTTGCTGGTGGTTTTTGGAAAGCACTTATAAACTCTTCCCTCAAATGAATTCAACTAATTATAATTCAAAAACCCCATGAACTACCTCTTACCCTCTCCCTCTCTCTCTTTTCCTTGTCTTTCTATTCCCTTTCCCTATTCTGGTCTTGAATATCATAAGAGTTTAAATTCACTGGGTGAGGAGTTTCATGATTCTGTATTTTGATAGTATATTGTTAAACTTATAGCAGTATATAGTGGCTCTATGACACATCTACTTTGGGGTCTATGTTCACAACCAACTACTAAAAATGACAAGTGTTTCGACCCAAAGGTTACATTTAACCTACAGTCTAAGGATCACTGAATTTTTTGTTAATGGTAAATGCCTTGCTCACAAAATAGAATACAGGTGAAGTTTGGTTTCTTAACTGAGTATAATTCTTTTATATTTCAAGGAATGTGGAGCACAAATTCTGTAGAACTATATAGAGCAATCCTGATTTTAGCTTATGACATCTTGAATTTTTCCTACCCATTTCCATATTCTAGAACTTAAGAGCTTTTGTAATCATAGCAGCAAAACTGAACTCTCATAAAATCCAGATCAACCAAATTCTCGACAACACAACTTTCTGAATATGACTGTATACAATGTACATTAATGGACAATCAAAGAGAATGTATAGCTCCACTGGAATAAGAGTAGCTGCCAAAGGACAGCTGTAGTAGTCATTAAGACTGGAGTTTTACAGAATGTTTACCTGACTTCCATACCTGAGATAAACTGATCATTTCACACACCCAGCACTTGTGCTAAAAGCATATGGTCTCTCATTAAAGCTAGCAGATGATTTTCTTTCACAACAAAGGTATAAACACAACTAGCTTCCTCACTTTTCCAATTATTCCAGTTTTACAAGATGTTTGGTTTCATAAATAGAGCCTTCTCACTGACTTACTATGGACTATTTGGTAGGACACAGCATCTTTGTTCCTCAGTTTATATAGAATAGGAATAAAACAAAACCCTCCTCCTTCCTAGGAGGACTTCTGTGAGTATATTGATAAATACCTACAAAATGATAAATGCTACTACCTTTCAGCATTTTGAAAGATGTCAACCAAACAAAATATTTTTGGTGTGTGAATTAAAATGCCTCTTACTGATGGTCTCAGATGTTTCCTTGTAAGATAGCGTGTCAAGAACTGGCTTATATACTATCCGTCCTCCAGAACGCACTGACATCGCACTTCATAATAGCTTGGTATGATGATTGCTGTCAAAATCGCCTGCATGGAAACATCCGTGCCCTAGATTGACATAATGTATTAGCGTGACAAAGGACTAAACAACTAAGGACACCGCGCGAAGCCCCGACTTTGAGCACTTGGGATAGAGGGGTATGTTACGTGTCAGCTGAAGGGCCTCAACCTTTCTTACGCTTCAACTTAGGAGGAGAATGAAAGTTGCCTGGGGGTCTCGTGGGCGAGGCGGGGAGACCAGAAAGGCAAGTGCCTGCGACAGAAGTAGGAAAAACTTTTTTTTTCCGAATTCGAATCCCATCCAGGGCTAGGCCTTTGGGTCTCCCTTCTCCATGACCACCACACAACGGCACACACTTTGCTGGGAAATGAAAACAAGACGAAGGTCTGGGGGAGCGACCGGCTCCAGACCCGGCTGAGGGGTGGACAGGGTCCCGTCACCTAGGCTTTCGGGCCGCCGCTCTGGCCGCGTCCCCCAGGGCGCGACCCGCCGCCCTCGCGACCTGGACAACTGGAGATCGGGGCACGGCCTCGCGTCGCCAACAGGCCCGACACGCCCTCTCCTCGGGTTTGCGGTGGGCAAGACTCCCCTCCCACGCCACCCCGAACCTGGGTCTGTCACAAGCCCTCCTCCCCAACTGCGGCGTGAGAAGCAGAGCTACCCGAGCCGCGGGCCCCAACTGCGCACAAAGCCCCCAACGGGGCCGCGGCGACTCCAAGCCTCGCTAATCCCGCTCCCGGAGCTCAGCGAGCAGCGTCCCGCGCTACCACCTCTACCCCCACCCCCGCCCGGGGAAGCCCCGCTGAGAGGAAGCGACGAGCCGGAGGTGAGCCCCTGCGCACGTGAGCATTCCCACCCCAAGCAGGGCCCTCTGCCCGGCGGGCACTCTCACCTCAAATGAACAGGCGCTGCCACCTGCGGGAGGAGGACAGCGGGTGGGGAATACTCACACTGGGTCGGGCCGCGCAGGGACCTCGTCGGGAAGGACGCACGGGTTCGAGAGCGGAACCTTAGCAGCTTGCGGCCGCACCGCCTTCTCAGAAGGGAGGCCTCTACCGTCCGGCCTCGGATCTGCAGCTGCCGCGCGCGCACGCGCGCGCGCGCCACAGGCAGCGCCGACCCCGCCCCGCCAGCCTCCTACTTCTCTGTCGGCTCCCACCCCTCCTCTCAGCCCGCGGGTGCAATCGGCGCTCTCCCGGAGACATACGCGAAGCGACATGGAACGCCTTCCACTAAAATGAGCTGTGATATCCTTTTGATGGCTATAATTTATTCCAAATCGTCCTTGGACTGAAACGATCAATTAGCAGCCCGAAACGCACTGTGAAGTAAATTGTCACACCCTCTATTACAGGGTGGTTATCATATATTTATAAGGTGTGTTTTCTGCAATCAGAACCAACAAGGTGTTGAGCGATCAGTCATAAACGCACTTCTTCAAAAGAGCGGGAGAGAAGCTCTAGCATTGTGTGGCGAGGAAGAAAATCTTATGACAGTTATTACCTCTCCCACCCTCTGCCCACGGTGATATTTCCTCTTGGCATCTAGGAAGTGCAGTGAGGCGAGAGCCCTGCACCAACTCTACAGGCCACTCGTGTGACCCCTGTGAACAAAAGAGAGACAGCCAAGAGGAGTGGTTTCCTTAGAGGTCAGGCATAAAGATCACTCACTCACTCTCCGTCTCTGTTTTTACTCTCATCCAGGAGAACAGTATCTTACTCTTCCTTCTAAGCTTCTAGCTGAATGTATGCATTCTATACTTAATCTTAAGTGCCTTTTCTTTCTCTGTTATTTAGGTGTTACGTACTGTAGAGATTATGCCATGGTGATATAAAGTTTACCCACAGAGAGAACTCTGCATTCTGAATTGGAATCTCTGCCAGAACGCACAAACTCTGAGAAAGTCATAAGAAATTCTCAGTCTGGTAGACTGTCCTGACCAAGCTATGGAAGCATTGTTATTTTCCTTATAGTCATCCTTAATGACTATACATGGAAATACATCCAGAACTTCTGAGTTTCCTATAACAAGCTATCATCATATTATCATCCACCAACCACCTATCAATCATTTTTTAGAAGGATTCTGGTTTGTATTGTTTTTCCTTTTGCCTGAAAACCCTAACTCTAAAGCCCAACCTACTCATTATTGTGAGAAAAATTTAGAAGCCAGAAGTATGCCTCTGTGGGCAATAAAGTGACATCTGTGAAGAGTGAGTCACAAGATGGAGTAAGATACAGAGTTTATACCACATTCTTCTTAGGTTAACTACCCTCATGATTTCTGAATGGCCAGGCTTGCCTGCAATGCCAGCCTCTGAAGAATGGACAGAAATCTGGTTGGGCATTTGAGCTGTAAAGGCAGCTGTTGCCATTGGGCTTCCCCCAGCATAAGTGGAGCACCATGTTCCTCTCTTAGAAAGCAAAGGAGCCAGGGACCCTTGCCTCACTTGTTAGTAAAGAGCATAGTAAAGAGCCAGACCCAGCATCTTTACCTTGTAGCTTCTAAAGTTATTGATTTAATTTGCATTTAATAGCTAATATTTATTGAGCACTTACTCTGTGCCAGGCATTGTGCTTTAAATTATATGCATTACCTTATTTAATCCTATCAACAAACTTATGGGCGAAGTTTCCTCATTTTGCCAATAAGAAAACTGAGATTTGGCAAAATTAAGTAACTTCTCCAAGGGCATACTCCTAGTAAGTGATGATCTCAAACCCAGGTCAGTCTCCAGTGCCCATGCTTTTTACCCCAATAACATAATATCTCAAAAATTTAAGATTTTGTCTTAAGATTTTCCTCCAAAAAGATTTTAGAGGAGCTAATGACACAATGACAGTGGTGAATTCTGGAAGAAGAATGAAAGAACAGCTGCTTGCAAAGGAAAGACACAATAGATACATATACCCTCACCAGGTAGGTTACCCCTTTTCTGTTCTATCCTTCCTACATCCCATGATTTCTTTTTCAGAGTTATCACCTGCCATCTGGTGTGTAGCCAAAGAGACCTTACCCAAGGTCAGTGAGGACTGCTAGGCTTGGGATGGGGGTGGGGGATAGGGGAGATGAACAGACCCCAGAGAAATCACAGCACCCTGGGGAAGAGACTTAAGTGGGAGCCAGAATTGGCCAGAGGCCCTTGTCCCAGACCCCCAGCTCTGAGAATGAAATGTTGCCTCCTGATGGACTTTAAATTACCAACATCGCTAAACTCTCCCTTAATAGACTTGTAAAGATCTGCTTGCTACCTTTTTCCCCCTTCATGTAGAATTTGTAATCCAGAGCCCAATTTTGTCATTTGGAAATACTAATTATCTAATCACGCCATGCTGCATAACGTACTTGTCTGCCCAATTAGCTAGGACAATTATTAAAATTCAGAGGCCTAATTATGTCTCAATTTAATGCTGGCAAACTTGCATACAGAGCAGTAATTAAAATCCTCTTTCCCTCTGCCTTTAGGGCAGGGGATGATTAGGCCCTGTCAGGGGGTGTACTGAACCAAACCAGTGAAGCGTATTGTGCAACATGACCCTGCATTGTTAAGTGTGTCAACATATTAACCTGAATTCCCTTCAGCCCCCACATAATCACATTTGGTGGAGGAATAAAGGAGCTAAAACATGAAGCATTTTATTAAAAAAACATAAATTCTTTTTAATTAATGCTATGAGAGTTCTGATGAATTTCATGCTTCCGAGTGCTGGAAGACATAAGACTGGTTCATCTAATTACTAGCAAATTTGCTCTTGTTAAAACTACTTTTTTTTACTCATTTAAAGAAAATGATTTTTTTTTTTTGGTGGTGTAATAAAAAAAGAAGAAAAGCCTGGCTATTTGGCTTCCAGTAATACAGTTGATTACCAGTTTTGTTTGATGATAGAACACAAGTGAATGTTGACTTCCAAAAGAATCAAACCCAAGACTGGAGGCATTAAAAAAAGGCTAGAATTTAATACTTGAAAGATGTTAATAAAAGTGAAACATTAAAAATCATAATATTGAAACAAATTCAAAATATTTATCTTTTGAGCTTAAAAGTTTGATGTGTGAAATAAAACCAGCATGAGGAGACCAGAGCACTGCACAAATTCCCATTGCTTCAGAAGTCCCTCAGCGTGCAGGAACCCAGACAGTTTTGTCTACTCTGCTAGCATCTCAATCCTCTTCTCTAATGAACTAAGGAGAGCCACCAAACCCAGTAAGGCTTCAGAGCTGTCTTCTAAATTTTGGCTTTCACTCATGATGGAATATGTGATACATTATTCATGTATTCAACTAAAAAAAGAAAGCATTCTATCTAAACCAAAAATGAATTGTTCTGGAGAAAGAAGGACTTCTTTCCATTGCTTCTAAACTTCTTGCTGCATAGATAGTTTCTAGAGAGCAAGAGACACACGAACACTCATATACACGGTCACTTGGTTGGACAGAGATTACTCTCAACTGATTTCATTTTGAATTTCATGACAACCTTGTGACACAGTAGGTAAGGCAAGCCAGTTGCCATTTTATTAATTTGGGGCATTTAAAATACTTACTGAAGCTGACTACTCTACACCCCACTTCCATTTAATTATAGGTAGGGCAAGTAGAACTCAGTTCCCCTTGCTTGCTGTTCATTGCATCAGATGGAGTGGCTGTGAATGAGACACCAATGAGGGATTCTTGGTTTAGTAAAATATCTCAAGTTGCGACCAAAGGATAGATAGTATTATAAATAATGATGGAGTCTATATATCAACTCTGGAGGACCTTCTGTCCTTCAATCAATACTTACAAGAGGTTTAGTCATATCTGTTTATATTTGGTGCCTTTGCCCGTTTATGTCCTCCTTTAAGTTTTTATATTCTCCAAGATATGTATGATTACATCTGAGTTGGTGGTAGTAAAAGCAGTGTTCCTTCCTCCTACTCTTACTCTGGGTACAATATGGGAAAGAAGATGGTGTTTAGGGACAACTCTGGCTGGTATAGGCCCTCTTACTAACAAAGACAGTGACCATAGGATAGTCTTTACAGGAGATGGTTGGCTGGAGGTAGGACAGGCCCTTTGGCGTTTGTGCTCTAAAACCAGGGGGTAGCTCCTCCCCCAGGCTTCCCGCAGAGTGTGCCCCATGTCTTGAAAATGGCGTTGCTCTGAGTCTCTTTGGATGGCAAACTGAAGTGCAAATCTGTGTTCTGACTTGTTCCTGTGGCTGTCAGCATGTTTTCCTCTTGTCAGCAGCAATTGACTGGTCAGGCTCACCCCTGTACAGCAATTGTAACAGCTCATTGACAGGCTAGTGACCCAGCTGGACCTGATAATGGAAAACTATTGATTTTTGTAGGCTCCACGAATCTAAAATGAACGACCGATGTAATGTCATCAATTGTCTTGGACTCTGATAACCCAAGGGAAAGTTTCAGGGATTGCTTGTATTTCCTGACAATAGTGTTTCAAAATCTCACTAGGAATATGTAAGAAGAACCCCATTTCTTGGGTGTTTTCCTTAAATGACCCCAATTAGATAGGGCTTCGATACCTAGCCTCGCATGTTAAATAAAATGGGAGTTAGCATTACCAAATTAGCCAAACTGGAACCTGATAGACCATCTAGGCAAGATATTTGAGGAGAGGCACTTTGGAAAGGAAATGTTTCAAATGTTTATTATAAAACAAGCTCACAGAAAAGAAAGAAAAAGGTTGGGATTAAACCAAAATATATTGGCTTTCAAAGATCTTAATAGATGAAATTAGGATACAACTTTTAGACTGCTTCTGCTTACCTGAGTTGATTTGTTTGGTAGAAAGAAAGGCTTGAAAATAATGCAGACGTGCCTTGGGTGTGTGTTGGGAGAAGTCACTATTTAGTTTGTTTTTAAAACCCTCTTCTCCTTAGTTGATCATTTCAAAATTCTCAAACATCGCTCAGTGTATTCTTCAGAAACAAGAGCTCTTTCTTTCCGAGCTAAATTAGCAATGGGTTAGAGCTAATTTTGCCCACTAGACAGTCCAGAGGACTCTGTGCTGAGTTATGGATAGAATGTCTGGTAATGTCCTCTGCTGAAGGGAACTTTCTTTAA